CCAGTTCCACAACATCCATTTTGTGAACTGGTGCCCCAAACTGAACTGCATATTGCAGATGAGATTTGTACAGGGGCAGGATAATGTCTCTGTCTCTGGAGTCTAGACCCATTTTAATATAAGAAAATATTTAGCTTGCTTTAGAAACTGCTGCTTGACATTGCATTCTATTATTGAGTCTATGATCTACCAGAACACCCAAATCTTTCTCCATCATTGACTCCCCCAAACATACTCCCCCTAGAGTGTATGTCGCATGCATGTTTTTAGTCCCCAAGTGCAGAACTTTACATTTATCAACATTAAACCTAATTTGCCAAATAGTTGCCCAATCACACAGTGCATTTAGATCTGCCGGTAGGTTGGAGGTATCCTGTAAGGACTGTATTCCACTACATAACTTGGTGTCATCTGCAAACACAGAAATAGTACTTTTAATCCCCAATTCTATGTCATTTATAAATAGGTTAAACAGTAAGGGACCCAACACTGAACCTTGGGGGACACCACTAAACCTCAGACCATTCAGATTACGAATCATTGATCACCACTCTCTGAAAACGTTTTTTAAGCAAGTTTTCTACCGAATTACAGATTGAATACTCTATACCTACTGACCTTAACCTATACATTAGCCGCATGTGGGGACCTGTGTCAAACGCTTTTGCAAAGTCCAAGTATACTATATCCACAGCCATTCCTCTGTCCAATTTATTACTCACTTCCTCATAAAAAGAAGGTAGGTTTGTTTGACAACTTCTGTCTTTTGTGAATCCGTGCTGACTACCGCTTATGAAATTATTTTCAAGCAAAAACAATTGCATGTGATCCTTGATAAAACTTTCAAGTATCTTCCCAACTATTGAAGTTAAACGTACAGGTCAGTAATTACTTGGTAAATACTTTGATCCCTTTTTAAATATAGGCACCACATTGGCTTTGCGCCAATCCATCGGTACCAAGCCGGTCGTTAGAGAGTCTCTAAATTTTTTTTTTAATCCTTGTATAATATTGGTTAAAGAAGGCCATAACAATAAGGAAAGCATATAGTACCTATTGTTCATAGGGTGTGTGCTGTGCAGAAGAAGTAGTCAAAGCTGTATAGGTATAAGAAAGGCTCCAATTTATTGATGACCATTTGCCCTTATCAGACACCAATAAATATTCACTTTTTAAGAGGCTGTGGCATGTTGTGTTTTGTTTTTTTAATTTTTTTTTCTATTCATTCATTTCATTTTTATTGAAAAATATTTAACAATGAAGAAAAGAATGATATAAACATTCCATACCCAAATCATAACTCATTGACATTAACTTAACGTTGCTACATCTGAAAGAAATCTGTGTGTGTTTTTTGAAGCTTTTTTTCTTTCTACAGTTGTCATAGGAAATAATGCCAGCAAGGGGCATTTTGTTTTCAATCCTGTATGCTGTAGATACTTTAATAGGGATGGCCAGAGCTGATGGCTCCATGGCAGGGGGACATGCTCATAACCAACAATGATAGGAGACTTTTCTTTCTTGTTATGCCTTCTGCAGTCATTGTTTGTTTGCTACTGAACAATATATACTGCATATGGTAGTAAACAGTGCACAACAATTAATTTCAATTTCTTTGTTTTTGTGTTGGCATGGAAAGCTATTGGCCTCTAAACTTGATGACCTGTTGTGCTAAGTGGCTAATTCTAAGTAAGATCTAATGAGTTCCTAACCATGGGTGGTAGTGTCTTCCTTTTTGGAATAAGATGAACATCAATTTGGAGTGTCATTCAGAAATGGCCCATCTGGAGGAGAATTATTTGCACATCAATTTATGACATTCTATACTTCCCGTGGAAAGATAAAAAAAAATACCACAGCTTTCTTTTGTGTTCAGCAGGACCCTGTCTCATTGTCTGTTCTTGACACCGATGATTAAAGTAAGATAAGTCTCAAGAGGTTGGACATCTTGCAGAGAAAGGTTATCCCATGCTAGTCTGAAATACAAGAGCGCTTTGTAAACCTTCCACTGCCTGTTTTTCTTGAAGCATTGTCTTTGTGTGGTATATGTGACATCATCTGCCATTCACAGCACCCTATTAGTGGTGTTTCATAGGATAAACCTCATGCAGCAACCTATTTGTACTGAATATAGAACAGTCTCTTTGATGTTCTGTCACCCCTTGTCCTCTGGAGTCAGATTTGAATTGCACGGCTAACCTCTCACCTCTTAAATCTATTACAGGTCAAAGCTTGCGTGATTCCTTTTATGAAATACCTGAAACCTGAGTGAGTGTGCTAGACTATGTTAAAGGTCTGCGTAGCAAATAGGCTTCTGATTTCTTCAGGCTATAATTGATTAGCTGGAGCAGTATGTTTAAAGCGAGGGTTTTTATAGCTGTTCCCTCTCACCTAATTACTGTGGCAATTGAAACAATATATTAACTGTTTTTTGTCATTAGTTTATAATCTCAATAATCACTTCTAGAGCTAGGCATTAACACTCCTATTAAATCTTGGCCCTGCTGAACTATTCTGTTACTTTCCAAACATTATCATTTTTATAATTTCAGCGTTAGTTTGATGTATAGACCCATGTTTCACATATTATTAGCTTTCCTTCCAATGCAAAGTTTCCAGGTGTAGAAGTAAAACCCTGGTGCACAAAAGCAGCTTTTGTTTTCTATGATGTAGACCTCGTGTGTTGCATGAAAAGAGGACATTTTTTTGTCGTACTCCTATTAAGACTACTATTTACATTTGATACATGTTAGAAACTAGTTTGAATCTGAAATGACTACACAGGCAACTGTTCTAAATGAGACGAGCCAGGTAAAAATTTACAATCTAACTGGATAACATGTAGATTGCAATTGCCATATATTTCCCCAGTAGTAAAATACTGTTTTTACTCTTCTTTTTTCTTTTATTTTTACATGCTTGTTTACATCTCCGTGCTACATATCATTGCTCAAGACCGGCTTCTTAATGGTCACAATGGTGGATTATGCCTGTGCAATGACCAGCTGCGTATAATCTCCACTGGAAGTACATGTGACAGGGTGTCAACTCAGGAGAGCAATTGGGAAACAGGGACATAGTGTTGTCATCACATAACAGGAAAATCTGAACACAGACCTTCGTAGCAGAAATATTATTAGGTATTATATTAAAGGAGAACTATGAGGAGTGATTTTCACTCAACCTCATAGTTCGAGCCGATGTGTGACAATGAAACTGTCACACGTCGGCTCAATAGATCGGGAAGTGAGCAAACACATAGAGTCGCTCGCTCACTTCTCGATCCTGTCCCTGCAGAGAGCTGTTGGCTGTCACTCACGGCTCCCTGCAGGGATTCCCCCCTCCCTGCTCCGATCCTCCAGTGCTGACTGGAGGAATGAATGGGGGATGGGGCGGGTACAGCTGGCTCTGCCTCTAGATAGGCGGAGCCAGCTGTCAATCACGCAGCTGGGTGGATCTCGACAGTAATGTCGGGATCTGTCCCGGCTGCTGCCGTCTCAGTATACCGCGAGCTGTAGCTTGTGGTATACTGAGCTTTTGGTCACGGGAGGACACTAGTTTATGTCCTCCCATGACCCTGAGGAGAACTATGGGGAAAAACACTTACCCCATAGTTATCCTTTTAAGGAAACCCATAGAGTTAATAACATTGAACATTATTTTTTAAAACATATTAAATATAATGTGGGATGTGTAGGGTTTTTCACATATTTAACTATTGACTAAAGCAGTAGCCCTGAAAACAATCCGTTCCAATGAAATGTACTCGAATATTGTAGAACTTGCTTTAGACTGATTTGTGAGGAAGGTGACAGGCCCCTCCCTAAAGGGAATCCGTGAGGAAGGAAATATGGGAGCAGACACTCTAAAAGGTCCAACAGTCCAGTGTTGCATTAATGTTATTAAGTGAAACCGTAGCAAGTGCCTATTTATTTATTGTTTTATATCAATAATGTGTGTTCCAAGCCAACTGTTTTTTAAAGGTGCAAACTGCAGGCCTGCCGTCCTTATGAAGTTTGGATTTATAGCTAATCAAGTCTGCAAATTCTGTGGCCCTTCTTGCATGCTTGTGACTTGTTGAATAGTAAAGCCAGGTATAAAGCTTTGCAGACGGCACCTTTAAAAACACATCAGTGATCATATTGCTTTCTTCACAGGTTATCTTTAATCACTAACTTGGTATTTATTGGCCATACTGTTTCGGTACTCGTTACACAAGGCTCTCTTAGTATCGAAAAATTGTGAGAAAATAAATATACTGCAATATTTCACATTCGGGAGTGTTGATATAGCCCTTGTTTCTTTAGCGTTTCTTTTTTAGAGGAAGACAGAATTCAACCAAAATGTAATGTTATTAGGTTCTGTTATACAGTAAACTCCCTATTATCCGCCATTCAAGCAACCAGAACCCTCAAGCAACCAGAAAAAAAAATCGAGGACATACTATGTCCTCAATTTGTTTTCCAAGTTGCTTGATAGACCTGTGCACACTAAAAAAAAAATTGTTAGCAACTAAATTGATTTAGTTGCTAACAAAATTCTCTATTTACATCATGCTGCTGCCGACAGGTAGATTCTGTAGCTGGCAGGTGAATATGAACAACAGGCAGTGGGCATGTGCAGAAAAGAAACAGTGGGCATGTCCAGAAACTATATTTATCAGGCATCTACCAATCACCATGGGTACCGGATAACTGGGAGTTTACTGGATATCTTGAAGATGCTGTCAGTAAGGACTCTAGGGAATCCTGTGTTCTTAGTCATTGTACTAAAGTTAACGTTGCTTATATGGAGCTCTTTGGTGTCCTAATCTCTAAATACACACTTCTTCTTTTTTAGATCATTTTATCTATGTCAGGTGCCTTATATTTTTTACATTTCCGGTGCTGAAATTGGAAAACATGTGCATCTGTGATAGTGTGATAAAATATTTTATTATTTCATGATGTTAGTGCTCTGGCTGCTTAAACCATTCATTTTGCTATTTTTATTACTTCTAGCCGTCCTCAAAAGGTGTGCCTGTGTCCTTTCCTGCCAGCTCAACCCATTAACGTTTCCACGTGTTTGTACATTGTTCAGCATCCAGCTGAGGTGAGTGAGGGTATGGGAACCTGTCACCTTGTTAAGTCTGATGTTCTGGGAAAAGACTAACTGCCACCTCCTGTAGCTTCCTACTCTGGCTAGGTCACATGGTTTTTATAGGCTGCATTTTACTTATTATTTTTCAACACACCTCATCTACATGTAACGTGTATACTTTTAAACTTTTTTACTTTTTTTTCATGTGGTTGTTTACTGTTATATTTTCCAAGGCCAAGAATGCAGCAAAATGTATTAGTGCTAACAGCCTACTGTTGGCTTTATAATGGAAGCGATTCTAGTGGCTAAGTTGCAGCCATATTGCTTCCATGGGCCGGTAAAGTGGTCGCCCCTGTCCGACACCCACCGCCATGCTTTTCGTGCTCCACTGCCCCTCTTGGAGGCCCAAAACCAGCATTGCGGATGTTGGCAAGAAGCGGGGGATGAGACCGGTGAACATCCATACATCAATCTCCTCCCCACTGAATGGAGCTGGACGCAACACTGATTGAATGCGCTTAAATAGCTTCTTTAAAGTTTGAAAGGTGACACTAGGGGTCTAATAGACACCTAATGCCACCTTAAAGACAACCTGTCACCACTAATATGCTATCGCATCGGGTGCTCGTGAGCCCCCCTATGTGATGGCAATGAATTTAAGTACAAAAAAAAACTTTAAACAAAGTTAAATAAAATAAGTTTAAAAATACTCAAAAAAATGTAAAGTTCCCCTGCGAACACCTGCATACTAATGTAAACAGGTGTTGGGTGCCCTTACATATGAAAATGGTGATTGCGCTACACATGTTTGATATCACTGCATGTGCCAGAGTAAGTAATCCTAGGGTCAAAATTTGTGGTCGACTCTAAACTGATGACCTGTATAGGCTTTTAAAGCATCACCTATGGACATTTTGGAGTACCGAATTATGTTGCCGTTTCATGGGTGCACACAATTAAAGTTGGCATGTTGGGTATCTGTTTACTGGGCACAACCTCATCTTTTATATTTTACAAAACAAAATTATATTTTGTTTTTGTGCAATACAATTAACATAATTGTATTTCACTGAAATTTTGGGTTTGATAAAAAGTTGCACTAAAGTCATACGAAGTAAAAATTTCCGCCAATTTATTCTACAAAGTCTGTGCTTTCAGGAAATATATAACTCTCAGAGTTTTAAATAATTTTTAGGCATATAATGTGGATTATATTGTGTGCAGATAATGCAGCAAAAGGGTTAAACCGTGCAGGGACTCACACCATTTTAGAATGCAGTAGAGCCTGGTTAGCTCCCATAACACAATTTATACTGTGCACAGTCTAATTTCTACGGTTTTATGAATTGTTGGAAGACAATAGAAGGGTACATTTGATGTATTTTTTCATGATTGAAAAATATATTTTGTAATTAAGTTTGATTAAATGACTCATCTAAGATACTTTTTTTAGACTGGTGTATATGAGGATCAGCATTGTTCTCAGAACACTTTAGCCTGAGCACTTAGTTTACGTCTTTCAGGACAGATTTAACAGCTGCCTAGAGGATTTTGCCAGTTAATCCTTTTCTCTGATTAGTGAGAGCTCACAGTAAATTGTTTTTCTAAGAATGTATAAGGGCTATTACAAGAAGTTTAATTAGCTACTGGATGCAAGACTGTCATTCCCATCATTGTCATAGTAGATCTGAACCCCATGAGAGTCTTGTCTTGTCATGCATTTTGTTACTGGAAGTCACTGTCCTAATACAACCTTCTGCTTTTCTCTTGTCTGCTGGTATTCCTTTGTCACCTGAGTAAGAAATGGCAGAGTGACATTAATTCAAGACTTGGTTTGGTTGGTATGTGGACATGTAGCACTGCTTTGGAGAGATAAAGCAAAATTGGCATATAAAATCACTTACATGTTTGCACATAACCTCTTTTCTAAATGCAAGGAAACCATATACATTATATGAATTGTTACTGCGCTGATTCAGTGTAGTGCTGGGGCATGTGAGTGTTGTCATTCATCCTGCTGTTCAAAAACAAGGATGACAAAGTGACACTAAACTCAGGTGTTAAATCTTAAAACTACATTAAAGTACCTTAACTATTAACAAAAATTTAGCTTATTTGTGCATTACTCAGCTGTAGATCCTCAAGTCCTCTTTGAATTGGTGCTGACACTGTCCTTCCTTCTGGAGGGTGGCTACCTTTGTTCCCCATGGTCCTTGTGTGTGTTGTAAAGTAGTCACCATTGCAAGCTCGATCCCGTAATGCACTACAATCTCACATTTAGTTTACTAATTTGTATTGAGATTGTAGTCCATCACGGGAGCGAGGGGAGAGTGCTGTGGGGACCCACTAGAAAACGAGTAATTGAAAGAATTACGAGTAATTCGAGTAATTACTAGAAAACAAGTAATTGATGGAATTACAAGAAAAACGAGTAATTTAAAAAATTAAAAAAAAATTTAAAAACCCCACACAGGATCTGCATTCCTCACAGGTGTTCCCATGTGTACAAATTAAAAAAAGTAAACTTTTCATGACAATAAAGTTATTAAACTGTTAACAGGAACCCCTTAAGTATGCATCTTTAGGTATTGGGAGCCAAGTAACCTTGAGTACTGCATTATGCATATACTGGGAGACTGGCTATCATAGTTTTTGACCATTAGTCCAAATTAACATGCAGATAACTGTGGATGTCTGCGTTTAACTCTTGCTGACATTTGAAAAACTTTATTGACCACAAATTTCAAACGCCAGCTCCAGGTTAGACCAGCAACCAATGTCAGAAGAGGACACAGGAGTATGACGAGAGTGGATAGCATTTATATGAGTTTCCACTTTTGTTTTGGAAAAAAAAGCTATTTTTATCTAAGGCCAATTGTAATAAGTGTATGAATATTTAGAATTTTTTTATGCAGAGTCTTGACTGCTCTTGTTAGGAAGACACTGAAATAGGGCTGCAACCAATTTATGGTTTAATCGATAATGAGAATAGTTGTCAACTATTCTCATTATTAATTAGTTGGTTGGATCCCCTAGCTCTCCTGCACGCTGGGAGAAGGGCAAAGGAAGTCGTGAGTGGGTGCAATAGCCAGCCTGCTATTGCAATTTGAAATGGCCAATAGCAGGCTGGCTATTGCACCAGTCCACTACCTGCTGTATTTACATTCAGCTGCTGTCTGAGGAATCTTGCCACTAGCAGCTGTCATTCCCTGGCTGAAGCTATTCAAGCGCCATGAGTATACAATACAATTATTAAAAGAAAATTTGGTTGTTGTGTCACTAGTCACAAATCCCACTTTGCAGGCTGTGCTCTAAGGAGAGTGAGGGGAATTTATCAAAATCTGGAGCATATTTGCACTGCAACCAATCAGCTTCTATCTCTCTTTTTCATACCGGCGTTCGCTCACCTCTCGATCCTGTCACGGCTCTCTTCCGTGACGGGAGGGGCTGGATTCCCCCCTCCCCGCTCCGATCTGCCTGCGCTGACTGGCGGTACGACGGGGGAGGGTACAGCTGGCTCTGCCTCTAGATAGGCAGAGCCAGCTGTCAGTCACGCAGCTGGGCGGATCCCGGCACAATTGTCGAGAGCCGCTTCAGCTGCAGCGTCTCAGTATACCGTGAGCAGCAGCTCGCGGTATATTGTGGCGTCTCAGTATACCGCAAGCTACAGCTCGCGGTATACTGAGCCTAGGGTGACGGGAGGACGCTAGTTTGTGTCCCTCCGTTACCCTAAGGAGAACTATGAGGAAAAGCCTTAACCCCATAGTTCTCCTTTAAGTTAATTCTGATGCCCCCCTCTTTCCTGACAACTTTTATTCACAGAACTGGTCTTTTGTAGTGTTGTGACTATACTGGCTGCTATCCCGCTATCTATTCTTAATTTAGACATACTTTATGGTAAGATCAATGATGACAGGGAGGTTGCTGTGGGGCCCATCACAATTTTGCTATTATTGCACCCCTGGTTCTAACTCTTCTACAGTCTACTACAAAAACAGATATCTATTGCTGTTTGCGCCTCGGGTGATTTCCACTGTATTCCGCTTATTGTGACCACCTGACATCAGCACAGGAAAAGACACATTTGCATTACCCAGGCTGTATCATGTTGATGAAATTTACTCAGGTGTTTAACTTCACTGTGGCAGCCAGGGGCCGGCATAAAGTAGCTGTACAATCGATAAAAAAGGAGAGCAGTAACAGTGGCAATAAAGAGAGTAATGACACATGAGAAAATGTAGGAAGAAGTACAGGCTGGCGCAGAAGAAGAGAGCAAGGCTAGTAAGATGGGGAAATCCAAAAATGATAAAGGGATACTGCAGAGTATGGGAACATAGGGGAGTGAATGTTGTGGCCGTAGAGCAGATAAGTGGATACATTAAGGGGGAGAGTGGATGGGAAGAATGGGGCTGCATGGGAGGTAAGTGCAACATACCATGCCAGCAGAGGGGAAGAGTAAAAGATTTAAAGGTCAGCCATAAACACTGAACATCAAAAAGAGGGAAATGGTATGTTCCCTGTGTGTGTAATGCAATTGGAAACAAGAATCCTCATGTAGCACTAGGGTTGCCACCTGTCCAGGATTCACCCGGACAGTTCGGGTTTTGAATGCTGTGTCCGAGTTTCATGACAGCTGAAACCCGGACACAAGATGTCAGGCAGACAGGGGCAACCAAAATTAAGATAGGGGCTACTGGCCCCCCACTGAAAATAGTCTCAACTGTGATATTTACATATGAATAAACCACAATTCATTCTTCCAAAAAAAATGTCCACGTGCCGCTGGTGTGTTCGGTTTTCGCTTGAAGAAAAGGTGGCAACCCTATGTAGCACTGTCAGGAAACAGGAAGTGCTTTTTCCTCTTTATAATATGCTATAATTATGCAGTATTGACTCGGACTGCACATTGTAGCTTTCTGGCAAGTTTGAAAGTGAGATACCGCAACAGGGGGCTGAACTACACGAGACAAAACCTGTACGCACAGCGCAAAACATAAGGACTATTATGGAGG